CATTTTTCCCAGCAACTCTGCTAGGACAGACTCCATTAATTGCTGGAATGTTGCTGGGGCATTTTAAAGTTTTTAAATCCAAAAGTCTTGGATTCACTTCCAGGCTCCATAGTTACCTGCCAGTACCAACTGTTGAGATCAATGGTGGAGAAGATGACAGCACCAGAGAGGGATTCCAGTATCTCTGTGATGTTAGGTAAGGGGTAGGCATCTCTTTCTGTGATAGCGTTCACTTTACGATAGTCCACACACAACCTCATACTGCTATCTTTTTTGGGGACAAGGACAATGCGTGAGGCCCACGCTATTTGTATAGGTTCTGTGAGGGCATTCATTAGCATTTCTTTGACTTGCTCTTTCACAATCTCTTGCTTCTCTGGTTTTAAACGGTATGGACGTTGTCTGATCAGCACAGGCTAGTCAATATACAAGCAGTGCTGTAGAACAGTTGTTCTTCCAAGCTGGGAGGTACATACTTGTGGATTCTGCAGAAGTAGATGATGTAACTGGCAATTTTCTTCTGGATGCAGGTGAGATTGATCAACTGATGCTTTTATTATTGTCTTGTCATCCCTATTATCTGGTAACTGAAATAGACTTTGTGGTGGGGGATTTGAGGTGAACTATGAACGAGCTTGGCTTGAGTTTTTTCTGTGCACTTTTTTTTTTCTGGTGCAGGTATGTTTTTTTCTGGAATGCTGGCCTGCCCAGGCTGAAAAGCATACACTTGGTTTCGGGTTGATGTGCAGGTTTAATTTTCACCAGCCACATTGATCTGTAGCCCACTGGTAAATATATAATCCAATCCTAGGATCACTAAATAAGTGAGAGCTGTGGAAGTGAGGATAGCAAATGGAATAGGAAAAAACATATTGTAAAGAATGACATTTGTTTTTGCCCATCCTAAAGGTATGGCGGTCTCACCATTAGCAAAGTAGAGGAGACCATGGGGCCATTGATGAAGAACATCAAGGGAAGCAAGTGCTGACCTCAAATGTTGGTGAAGTAGGGTATAGCTGGCTCCAGTGTCGATTATGGCTTTTCCAGACCAAGCTCCAAGGGTGCTTGATACAATTAGCTGTTGTGGTATGAACTCATGGGTAGGAGGATGACTTGGTTTTGCTGTAATTGTGGAGTTGGAGTTGTAACAGAGATGCTGTTGTGAGAAGGTGCAGGCCTTTGATGCTGTGTGGGTATATTTTATCTCCTTCAGCAGTGGTTCTCAATATACCAATATAAAATATACCAGGATTTTGAAGCGATGATTTGACTGACATTAAAAGTGACCAATCACAGTCAACCTTGTCTAGTTTTGCATTGAACGTAAGGGCGGGACAAAGGCCTTTCTATGTTCCAGTGACAGAAAACAACAACTTAAAAACAAATGCATTATTGAAATAATGCTTTTTGGGTGTTTTTACTATAGAGATGTCTATGTTATTCACAAGAGTAATTAAGCCGCGGACATCCTGCCATTTTGCATTCTCTCCAACGGATTTTACTCGCCTCTAACCTATCACTCTTCTGAAGCCTAGTTTAATACAATCTGAGAGCATACTCACACTATGAACAGCTGCTTTGAACTAGGCCAAAGCACGCTTGTCCTCCATTCAGGCCAGGGCACGCTTACAATATTGATGATGCACTGTTCAGTAGAGAAGTGCTCTCGGTCAGCACAGTGGAGACTTCTCTAGTTATGTTGTTTTAGTCGTTTGGGATGCAGTGACACACAATCAAATATTTTGCCGAACAGATCCGCCAATTTTGACGCTCATAAACAGTCATAAAGTCCTCGTGCTGCAGGAATAAGTAGGTTTGCTGAATGCACAGCTGTGGTGCAGTGAGGAGTTTGCGTCTTTAATAAACTACAACAGTTTGCATTCATTGAACGGTAAGAATGATTAATAAATGCATATGAAATAGTCCCTTAAAAGAAACGTCTTGCTTTCAGTTTCTGGCTTAGGCGCGTTTTGCACTCACACACAAGCGTACCGCGCCAAAGCCCAAGTGAATTGTGCCTGAGCCCGATTCAGCGCACTCACACTTCTCAAACGATCAGGCAAACAGGCCTGGGCACGGTTTGGATAGCATAGTGTGAGTAGGCTCTAAGAGTGTCGGCGCGAGCTGCAGGTAATGCGCAATTATTCATTTCTGCAAATGTCGCGGGTGCTTTATTTTAACACGAGAGTGCAGTCATGTAGTTAATCGCCAAAACTGGATATCCGAGCCCTTAAATAGGCTTTTTCAAATGAACTGCAAGTCCTCTCATGATCTCATCATCGCGTGTGTGTGCTCAGACTATATACAATTGTGATCTCTCAGAAGTAGAAATTATTTATCTTTGCTCCTCGACTAAACTTACTCAAAAACTTTCAAGTATTTAGAATTAGATTGATGCATGACCGGTGACAATGCTAACGCACTTACTTGGCTGTACTGTGATGTGAAACTTAGCCTACCATAACTTTTCACAAAGGTGGAACTTTTTATTTCTTTACGGCAAAAGAATTATGCTAGAAATGTTTCTGGATGAGGTATTTATGTGATTTATACATACTAGGGGTATTCTGATCTGTCTTAAAGCATCAACAATTTGTACAGGCATTACAGGTCAAAGCAATCTGTTACATTTACCAAAATAAACAATATTAAAGCACTGCTTTGAGAAATGTAGTGTTGTCAGAAACCAAGTAATTTGTTTTTCTTATTTTATTACCGACAGTGTTCTTGTCTTTTTTGTAAAATTATTTCAGTTTAGGATCAAGCGTAAAATAAAATATTGTATAGACAACAAGCAATTAAGAAAAACAGTGTAAAATATGTAAATAAAACCCCAAGTTTAAATATTTTCATCATATACTTTAAACATTTAAAAGCCTGAAAGTATTGTTTAAAAATGGACAAAAAAGTGTCTCTATGGCCTTAAAAGTATGTGGTAGTTTTGCCAGTGCTATTGAAAATGATTCATTGTCATGTACAGAAAAAAATAGACCATACTTTGTTAATGCAAATACCTACATGTAGCCTTGTGATTTAAACAATTAAACAATTTAAATAATTGTATAATTAAAAAAGGGCCATAATGAAAAAAATGTTTTGTTTTTTTTCAAAAGTAATTAACTAGTACTCAGAGTAGTTTTTTAAAGAGTAATTTGTAAAATATTAGTATCATTTACTAAAACTTGTATTATTTTAGCAGTGTATTATAACTTGAGTACAAATATTCTGTTCTCTTTTCATCTGTGAGATAACATTAACAAATAAACAAAAAAATGCACAAGCACATTTAGTAAAGGTGTATTATTTTATAAATAAATGATTAATTAATTGTTATATTATTATTAATGAATGGTTTTTATTTGTATAAATCAATAGACAGTTCATATGCAGTATTTTTATGAATTGCTGAAAAAACATTGCAGGTGTTCAACACATTGCATGTCAGTCTTAGCTTATTATATTAACGCTGTTTTTAGGATCTAAAAATGTATTCTTTAAAAAGCAAAAAGATTCCAATGGCGACACCTGCTGGTACGTGAAGAATATGGTCAATACTGATGAACTTTACACTCAAATGTTTGCACATCATCAGCATGCTGTAATCCATTTCCTAAGCAGCAAAAGTATTTTTTAGACTAGTTTGTTGGCCAGTTGTAGTCAGTTCAATGCTAAACGTTATTGTTTCACTTTAATTAGTTTTGTCTCACATCGTCCCACACCATCATATAGTTTAGAAAACTGTACAATGTTTTATAATAATTTATTATTTTGGTGTCCATTTCATTCAGCATATTTAAAATTAGGGCCTCCACGTTTTTTGACATACTTTAAATCAGGGTTTCTACAGGTGTCACCAAGTTAAATGTAAGACTTTTTAAGACCATTATGAATGAAATTTTAGACTAAGGAATTTTTCAACTGGCCCAGATGAAAAAGATTTTTATATGTCCAAACAAAAAATATTTTAATATAAAATATTTAATAATACAATAATAAATAATAACATTAATAATAATAATAACATTAAAATATTTTAGATATTTCTTAGCAAAAGATCTTAAATATTGTGTAAAAACAAGAGAGCTCTACTTGGATCCACACACTTTTTTCCCCAAAATAAACTTTCTTTAAAATAAAAAAAAAACAAATAACAAATGTTTTAAAAGTTTTAAAAACTATATTAAACTAAATCTATGCACAACAATCTGTCCAGGTCGATATCCTCAGCAGTCCTTATCATTATGATAAACAGAGTTAAAATGTCTTGTTGGTGATTGTATGAGTTTTGGCCAGATTTGGGAACAAAACTTGAACACAGGAAAATGAAGACTTGTTTAAAAAGATTTAAGACATACAGCACAATATTTCAGTAAATTTAAGTTTTTTTTAAGGCCTAAATTTTTGATTTTGGAATTTAAGACATTTTAATACCCAGCGGAAACCCTGTTTAAACACAATAGCCCAGGTAATTAGTTATTATAATAATGTAGGTCAAACTAAGATAATATCTGTGAGAACTAGTAACAACTACAAAAACAAGTTTAAACCCATAAAGAAGTTGATAAAAAAGGGAATTGTGATCAACGTGACATATGCAAATGGAAAGTACTAAGCCAACACCATCACTGTAATAGCAGATATCTTCTATGAGAATACTGTAGGTCAAATATTGTCAGCTCAATTAAACCTTTTTAATTTTTTGTTTTTATTTATTTTATATAGCGCCAGTGCTCAAGGACACTTAACAAACAAAGAGAACAAGAAAAGCAATAACCTTAAGAAGGTAGTGAAAATAGGAGACGAATAATACATAACAAGTATGACATAAATAAGAACAAGTGATGAAACTCATTCTGTCTTAAATGAGTGCTTATGTGCATTTAGGAGAACTAGGCAGCACACTCAGGGCTGCAAGATGGATTAATTTAGTATTCTTCTTATTAAAATATATCTGAATGAGGATCAAATGACTGAGTTGGTCTTGGAGAATTAAAACCAACCTGTTTGTTCCTGCAGATCTTCCTGTTTGACTGTGAATGTTTCTTCAATCTTCACATCTTCACTCTCCTCTTTAATAAACGGCATCTTTATAACAGTGTGGAGATCAGTCACTTCAGCAGTTTTTCTCTGCGTTTGGACACTTTATCCTGTTTAAAAAAATAAAAACATTAAAAACGTCCTGATTAAAATAAATAAAACAATGAACAGAATCAAAATAACTTCTCTTCATTACTTGCTTTAACAGTTTCATATGAGAGTCATTAACAAAAATAAATCAGGTAAGTCTGAGCAAGACACAATGAGTTGATTAAAACTAGTACTCCATTTCTTATATATAGTGATTTGTCCTTAGAATGGAATGACATTATGCTTTTTAATAAATTAAACCTTAATTAAAACACTTATTACTCACATTTCAGTTGCTTTATTCAAACAATAGCCCTAATTACTGTGAGTAAATAGTACTTCGTTGTAAAAAGGGTCAAAATAATGCCAACAGCAGGTTCATAATATAGCATCGGATGAAAACCCTGAAACTTTATTCAATCGCTTTATATTTATGTAAAGGTTTTAAAAACAAACCTTTCTCCAGCTGAATCAAGCGCAAGAGCGGCGCAGCCTAATGACGTCACACGCCACGCCAAAATAAAAGTCTTTTGTTTTTAGTTTTTTGCCACTTACTGTTGCAGTCATGACTTGTTCAAACATTTCTCTCCCTAGTTTTCTACTTGCTCTCTCTCTCTCTCTCTCTCTCTCTCTCTCTTACACACACACGCACACACAATCACACAGATGTTCAGTATTTGAAGTTGATCAAAACATTTAATCTAAACATTTTAAAACAACTTAAAGAGGTCATTATCACTAAGTGCCTTTGAGACATCAAAATAAAACAAATAAATGAAGTTTAAGACTTTTTAATTTAACCACATAGTTGTTGTATTATTTAGACATTAGACTGTAAAAAATGAATGTTGGTCAAGCTCCTGCACTTTTTACAATTAATCTACTAACAGAAAAACAGCAAACAAACCTCAAATTGTGTCAACACTGTCAAGGACAAATTCAAAGTATATCTTCATTTCAGTGTGATTAATAAATGTGTATTTTCAGAAAGGTCATGTGTCCCTTTACAAACCCAACTTTATAGATTATTTTTTAAAAAAACTATTCGTAATAATGAAATATTGGACAAAACATTAATTTTCAGATAAAATATGCAATCGTTGCACATAATTTTTAAAATAAAAATCCAAGATTTAAAATATTTAGTCAAACTTTCAAACATTATTAACTGGCCCTTATTGGTTAATTAAGACATCATACAAGATGTTTTGCTGAGGTTACAAATAATTTGTTCATTTTCATAAAATAAAATTTGTGTGACATTCAGCAACTGTGAGACGGCATTCTTACTACTTGTTTTAATGTTTTTTGTGGCAGTTTATCAATACTGCCTAGAATACAGGATACAGCAGTAATTCTATTAATATTAAACATTGTTCATGTATTTTTCCTTTTTAATTTAACAAGTGCATGTGTAAACTTTGAAGTCTAAAAATGCCATACAAATGAATATGATCAAACTTTTTATTATATATTTCACAACATTTAATACATACAGTGCACATCTAATATTATAAGCAAACAGTATAAAACAAAGTATAGATTTTATTACACAAACACACACACACACACACACACATATATATATATATATATATATATATATATATATATATATATATATATATATATATATATATATATATATATATATATATATATATATATATATATATATATATTGAAGCTTCAGGCATAACATCTACAGTGAGTAATTATGTAGCCTACTTTATTTTAATTCTTTAATAATCTATCATATACTAAAATTACATACAATTAAATGAATTTAGAGAGACAGGGAAAGCTGGTTTGAGTAAACAGAAGTCAGAGTTAGTCTCCGAATACTTACTTAAATTATGAGAAGAGAAAGAAGAAGAGGTCCTGTAGTTGTGGCATTACTCACTGTAAAATGGAATATTACACTTAGTGTCATTTCAATAACAGCTGTACAAAATAATAAAGTAATTTTTCATAAGCATGATCTATTTTCCACACTATGGACATACTGTGTTCTGAATAACATAACTGCATTTAATATAATAGTAAACAGAGTAGTATTCTACTTATCTCATCTAATTCTTCTTTCCACAGATCAGGAATATAGCAACACTGTAATCTGAGGTGACTTTAACAACCATAAACATTCTGAAAGACAAGTTACATGAGTAATTTGAAAACAACAGTGAGTGGCTAAATAATAGAGTTTATGCAACTTACACATAATTAAAATCCAGAAATTATCAATACAAGATTACCTCAATGTAAAAATAGTAGATAGCAGATCTTTTTATTGATATCAATATTATTTAGGCATTTTAACATCAATTTATATACTTTAACTTGGTGATAGATGGGAATAGATCACCCAAACTAACAATTCTGTCATTTAGCCTCATCATTTACTTGTTCCAAACATATTTAGCTCTTTTTTTCTGCTGAACAATAAAGAAGATATATTGAATAAAGCTGGAAAACTGTAACTATGTCTGCCTTTCTCATCTTTATCCCATTTCTCTTGCCATAATCTATTAACACCTTCTTTAATTATTGTTTTGATTTCTGATTTGTTAGGAGGAACTTGAATTTCTATTTGATTTGATTATGCTTGCAGTCTGTCATTGACAACATTATTAGACTATTTATTCACTAGTAAAATCAGACATTTGTCATTTTCAGATTATATTCAACAATATGTAGGCCAGAGTAGTTATACTGACACTGTAAACATTTATTTTCATGCACAACTTCGCTATGAAAGAAAAAAAAATCAAATGCTTGTCGTAATCATAACTCTAAAATGAGATATGATCATTTAAATGAAGTGCACACTTGCGGTTTTATTTTGACTAAGTGCTTCATACTTCGCGCGCAGCTCCCAAACGATCACTCTGTGCCACGAACTGAATATTATTTACAACTGTATTACCTGTTACTTACAACATTTGCAAGTTCTGTTCACTAAAGTAGGCGCGTGCGTGTCTATTATTAAGTTGAGCGCACTCTCACGGTCAGCAGCTTACATCACGTGTGATTTTCCGGCTGCAAAAACATCATTATATGAAGACAAAAATTACATTTTCAGGTGAATTATACCTTATAAATACAGTATGTGACACTTTTAACATCATTTGGAGGTGTCCATGTCACTGAGCAACATTATGTGAAACAATGAAAAGACTCATGCAGCCGCCTTTTCTTCTCTCCTTAACTTGAAAATATGATTGACAGAATCAGAGAAAAGCTGGATTAAGATCGTCAACGGGGTCGAATCGAGATCGCAATCTTTTTTCGATTAATTTTGCTGCTCTAATCCCTAATCATAACTCCTGTACAGCAGTCCCACAAAATTCTGACACTCGATGACACTGGAATACCCTGTCAGAAAAGTCAAGTGGCTGTCAATGAGCTTTTTACAGTGTCTGCTATAATGTTAATGCTGTTGTTGTGTGTTTACATTGATAAGTTTGGCCACTGTGTTAAATGCACAGTACCGTTACGATCTTATTGCCACATTAGATCATTATGATAACATAAACCTTCAGTGATTTCCTGAAGATAAATACCCAACAATAACAACTGGAATAAGTACAGCAGTCGCGATCGTCTGATCTCATATGAAGCAAGAAATCTCGAGGACATATGATGACATGTGCAGGTACTGTAGTGCTGTCCCAATTCGTAGGGGTAGAATTTGAAGCCCTTCAACTTAACCCTCGGTTGTAAGGGCCAAGGGGAAGGGGTACAAAAGTAGAATTGGGATCGGGCCTTAATATTTAATCCACATAAATTTATTAAAAATGTTAAGTTAACTTAATTTGTGTTGTGACAACATGAAAGAATTGAGTGGAACCCTGCACAAATATGGTTGTCGGTTCATAATAAGTTGAAACACATTGTCAGATTTTGCTGTACTTTGCTTAACCGTTCTTGCGTGGCTCACCAACGTATAGATGACTCTAATACATAAAATAAGTAAGCTGACCAAAGTTCTTACGGGGAGAAGACTTTATTGAAGACAATTAATTGTGCAGTTCATCAGCAGTGATGTTAACTTGTCCATCGTCAAGTAACTTAAACCAAAGTACTGTCTGTGAGACACTAATTTATACTAAAGCATGAAACCCCACTGGAGATTAAACCCAACTACTTTGGTTGAGTCACATCTCTTGAGTTCCTGTTGGTCATTTGGTTCACATCTTATCAGAAGTAGATACTTGTTGCATATGAAACAAGCCAATACAATCTATCAACATGCAGAGTTATTTTGTCTTCTTGCAGCCCGATAGCAACTCTCACAACCTGGTACTGGGCTGTGACCCCTGATCTACATGACAAAACAGCTGGCAAAATCTTCACCCCTCTTCAGTTGAGTTTAAATTTTCAGGTGTTCAAAGGGTTTCATTATCAGTAACTTGATATGTATTCAAGAGTTCACACTTGTTTGGCATGCTATCCCGGGAGAGACCTAAGCTCATAAGATCCTCGAGCCCTGGGCTCCATCCCGTAAGCAGGACGAGAGGGGAGTTTAAGCTCAGGTAGATCTCGATGAACTCCCCAGACTTCTTTCTATTCTAATGACAGATATAGGGTCGGCTAAAGGGAGATATAAGGCTTACTAAGAGCTCGACTATGGTGCCAATTTAATGTTCAGTTTACTTAGGTTGTGTGTTTTTGGACTGTGGGAGAAAACCAGGGGAAATCCACGCGAGCACAGGGAGAATGAGCAAACTCTGCACAAAAAGTCAACTGGTTAGCAGCGACTTTAACCTGCGACATTCTTACTGTGAGGCAACAGTGCTAACCACTGGCTAATCATTGGCTGCCGTGTTGCCCAATCTAGAAAGGAGGGGGAGTAAGGGTGGGAGAGGGATTCTGCAAGACAAGGATAACTGAGTTAAGCTACGGTCACACTGGGCTTTTCCTCCCATAGACTTCCATTCATACGCACGCGAATGCGTCAGACTAGAAACAGGGTCATGCGTCAAGTTTCGCCGGTTGCTGAGGTGCAAAGTTCATGCTTGGTGAACTCTGACCTGCGAAATCGCATCACTTGACTGCGTGAGACCAATCGAGGATCAAAACATGACCTCTCTGGACAGAAATTTAAACCATGGAGCAATTTCTCACTTTTTTAATTTCTAAAAATCTTGTTTGATCCCGCCCCTTTTAACAGCACCGTACGACAGAATTTCACAATCTCAAACTCTATTGTGACTGCAGCTTTGTGTTCTGGTTATCTATAGTGAGTCAGGAATCATCTGATTGGTGAATCATGTTTTAGCTAATGCTGGACCAGCCGTGGACAATCATAAGCATGTGATCCTCTCGAAAGTAGTTTATAAATAAACTTCACTTGAATGAACAGCCAAACTATGTGAAAAAGCAGCCGTTTTGAATATACCCGTGTTTGTTTGGACAAGGCCTCAATGTTGAGGACTCTGCTCTGCATTGTGAAGCTTCATGTGAGTGTTGAGGCTTCTTTTACTTTTAAAGCCCTTTCCACACTCACTGCATCTAAAACGATCCTCTCTTGAGTGAATCTTCATATGTTTCTTTATGGTGTCTTTCCGTTTGAGACTCTTTCCACACTGATCACATGTGAACACTATGGTTCCAGTGTGACCATTCATGTGGTTCTTGAGGCTAGTTTTGGTTGTGAAGCTCTTTCCACACTGAGCACATGTAAACGGCCTCTCTCTGGTGTGACTTATCATGTGGTGTTTAAGTGAGCTTATATGTGGGAAACTTTTACCACACTCTGTGCATGTGTAAGGTTTCTCTCCAGTGTGAATCCTCATGTGGATGTCAAGGTCTTGTTTGTGACCAAAACTCTTTCCACACTGTTCGCAGGTGTAAGGTTTCTCCCTTGTGTGAACTCTCATGTGAACATCAAGGTTTGGCTTTTGACAGAAACTCTTTCCACACTGCTTACAGCTGAAAGGCTTCTCTCCAGTGTGAATTCTCATGTGGGTTTTAAAGCTTTGTTTTTGACTAAAACTCTTTCCACACTGTTCGCAGGTGTAAGGTTGCTCCCTAGTGTGAACTCTCATGTGAACATCAAGGTTTGACTTTTGACTGAAACTCTTTCCACACTGTTTACAGCTGAAAGGCTTCTCCCCAGTGTGAATTCTCATGTGTGCTGCAAAGTTTCCAGCTTGATAAAAGCTTTTTCCACACTCTTGGCATGTGAACTTTCCCTCTCCAGTGTGAATTCTCATGTGGGCTTTAAAGCTTTGTATTTGACCAAAACTCTTTCCACACTGTTCGCAGGTGTATGGTTGCTCCCTAGTGTGAACTCTCATGTGAACATCAAGGTTTGACTTCTGGCTGAAACTCTTTCTACACTGTTTACAGCTGAAATTACACCCAGATTTGGATTCCCGAGGTCTTCCGTGTGATGAAGTCTTTTTAGTCAGTGTGGGTTTTTCATCAGTCGTTATTTCTTGGGGTTTCATAAACTGCTGTTTCTCATCTATTTCATTCTGTCCATGAGTCTCTTCTTTCAGCACCATCAGATCTAAAAAAAAAAAAAAAAAAGAGTTAACTTTAGTATGAAGGCTCAAAGCGATAAGCAAGAAATGGATGTTTCACCCACAAATGAAAATGACCTTACCATTTACTCTCCATCATGGTAGTTTTAAACATTTCCTTTATTGTGGAACACAGTAAGCCAGTAGGTTTTTTTTTCTTTTTTTATTATCTTCTTTTGTGTTCAACAGGATTAAGAAACTCATAAAGGTTTAAAACCACACGAGGATCCACACATTTCTAAACATAATAGTTTTAGTAACTCATTTCAAGATACTGATTTATTTTATCTTTGCCATGATGACAGTAAATAATATTTGACAAGATATTTTTCAAGACACTTCTATACAGCTTAAAAGTGACTTTTAAAGACTTAACTGGGTTAGTTAAGTTAACTAGTCAAATTTAAGTTATTAGGCAAGTTAATTAGGCAACAATGGTTTGTTCTGAAGACTTAAGGGGCTAATAATTTTGACATTAAAATGGTTAATAAAAATTAAAAACTGCTTTTATTCTAGCTGAAATAAAACAAATAAGTCTTTCTTCAGAAGAAAAAATATTATCAGACATACTGTAAAATTTCCTAACTATCTATCTATAAATAGATAGATAGATAGATAGTTAGATCATAACAAGAACTGCTGCTTAATTGAATGCGTGTAATAGCGACACCCGGTGGTTATTTATTGAATTGCGTTCATTTTTTGTATAGCGGGCCAGATTATATTGATATTTATAAAAAGCCTCGCGGGCCGCCACAAAACTGATTGCGGGCCGCAGATGGCCCGCGGGCCGTAGTTTGGACACCCCTGCTGTAAGCCAACACTGGCCTCACCATAAACCTGCTCGTTTCTTCTCACAATAGAGTTAAATTACACTTCTCTGCTGTTCTGTCTGCTGGTCTGTCCACAGGCTTATAATTGTATAGCTGTGGTCTGTCGTTTGTGTGAGCCTCTCAGAATATCTTATCTCGGCATCCAAACGCGCACCGCGATCCGTTGTCTTCATAGTGTTACTTGCACGAACTCCCTCATCCGACTTCACTTCCGGTCTGGCGATTTTTCAGATGCAGAAGTAAATTTCCGTGACTAAAAACGACTCCAAACGGCTTAATAATAAACTTTAACGTATATTTTAAAGAAAATCTAGTGCCTACTTTACTCTTACACACATTGTCTCACTGGGGTGTCTAACCTACAATATGCTCTTTAAGGCCTAAAAATTTGATTTTGGAATTTAAGACATTTAAAGACCCAGTTATTAGCCCTGTAATTAGTTATTATAATAATGATGTAATTCTAGATACTATCTGTGAGAACTAACAACTACTAGAAACAAGTTTAAACCCATAAAGAAGTTGGAATTGTGATTATTGTGACATTTGCAAATGGAAAGTACTAAGCTAACACTATCACTGTAATAGCAGACATCCTTTATGAGAATACTGTAGGTAAAATATCGTCAGCTCAGTTAAACTTTTTTAATTTATTGTTTTTATTTATCTTATATAGCGCCAGTGCTCAAGGACGCTTTATAAACAGTAGAGGAACAAGAAAAGCAATAACCTTAAGAAGGTAGAGAAAATGGGAGACTAATAATACATAAAATAATGACAAAAGACATGAGAACAAGTAACAAAAGAAACTCATTCCTGTCTTTCAATGAGTGCTTATATGCATTTAGGAGAACTAGGCAGCACACTCAGGGCTGCAAGATGGATTTAATTTAGTATTCTTATTATTAAAATATATCTGAATGAGGATCAAATGACTGAGTTGGTCTTTGACAATGAAAACCAACCTGTTTTTTCCTGTGGATCTTCCTGTTTGACTGTGAATGTTTCTTCAATCTTCACATCTTCACTCTCCTCTTTAATAAACGCCATCTTTATAACAGTGTGGAGATCAGTCGCTTCAGCAGGAGTTTTTGTCTGTGTTTGGACACTTTATTCTGTTTAAAATGAACAAAACAATAAGAATGTTCTGTTTAAAATTAAGAAAACCATGAACAGAAACAAAATAACTTCTCTTCAACACTGGCTTCAACAGTTTCTTTATATGAGAGTAATTAACTATAAGAAATCAGGTAAAAGATTTCATTAATACTTATTACACACTTTTCTCAAGCAAGAAACAATAGCCACAAATGAGCTGATTAAAACTAGTACTCAATTTCATAGAGATAGGTTGGTTTATTCACACATTCTGACTTTTCCCTTTATAATATAATTTCATAAAAGTAATATTTTGCAAACTCTAAATAGTGAAATCATATTAGCAGCCAATGACTATCAAAGTACAACATTGTTCACAGTCATATAAACAGTGTTAATGTTGTATAGAAGTCACACTTGCATGCTAATAAATCTGATCAAATATTCAAAGTAACATGGTAAACAATATAAACTTCTGAATGAACGAATGTGCGAATATAAAACCAACTTTACCTCTTATCTATTTCTTATAGTGATGTACTTAGAATGGAATGACATTATGGTATTTAATAAATTAAACCTTCATTATAACACTTATTACACACTTTACTGTTACTTCACTTAATCTTTCTTCAGGTATGTTCTTAATTGTTTTGTTTGTTTTATTTATATTATTGTCTGCTTATAGCACTTTTTTGCCCAAGACAAATTTCCTCTCGGGAACAAAAGGTTTATCTTATCTTTATTTAAACAATAGACCTCATTACTGTGAGTTAAATAGTAATACGTTAAATAAAGGGTTAAAATTATATTGTCAACAGCAGGTATATAATTTAGCACTAAATGAAAAACCTGAAACTTTAATCAAACGCTTTATATATGCTAAACGCTTTAAAACAAACCTTTCTCCAGTTGAATCACAGCGCGAGAGCGGCGCAGGCTTATGGCGTCACAAGCCACGCCCAAATAAAAGTCTTTTTTTAACCTTTTTTTTGCCACTAACTCTTAGTCATGACTTATTATATACAGGTTTTCTCTGCGTTTGGACACTTTACCCTATTAAAAATTAACAAAACAATAAAAATGTCCTGTTTAAAATAAATAAAACAATGAACAGAAACAAAATAACTTCTCTTTATATGAGAGTAATTAACAAAAATAAATCCGGTAAGTCAGAGCAAGAAACAATAGCCACAAATGAGCTGATTAAAACTAGTACTCCATTTCTTATACATACTTAGAATGAAGTGACATTATCCTATTTAATAAATTAAACCTTTGTCTTAAAATATTTACATTAAAGGTTTGTCATGACTGCAACAGTAAATGGAAAAAAGCTAACCAAAAAATACTTTTATTTTGACGCGGCGAGTGACGTCATCAGGCGGCGCCGCTTCAGCGCTGTGATTCAACTGGAGTAAGGTTTGTTTTAAAACGTTTACAGATATAAACCTATTTAAAGTTAATGATCTAAAGTTTTAGTTTTTTTATACAATGTTAAATTATGTTCCTGCTGTTGGACATATTATTTTAACCCTTTATACAACGTAGTACTATTTTATTCTCAGTATTTACAGGCAATTGTTTAAATAAAGTGGGTTAACAGAAAAGTGTGTAATAAGTATTAATGAAACCTTTTACCTGATTTATTTTTGTTAATTACTTTTATATAAAGAAACTGTTGAAGCAAGTGTTGAAGAAAAGTTATTTTGTTTCTGTTCATTGTTTTATTTATTTAATCAGGACATTTTAAATGTTTTGTTCATTTTAAACAGGATAAAGTGTCCAAACACAGAGAAAAACTCCTGCTGAAGCGACTGATCTCCACACTGTTATAAAGATGGCGTTTATTAAAGAGGAGAGTGAAGATTTGAAGATTGAAGAAACATTCCCAGTCAAACAGGAAGATCCACAGGAACAAACAGGTTGATTTTTATTCTCAAAGACATTTGATCTTGAAAAGTCATCTGATCCTCATTCAGATATATTTTAATAATAAGAATACTAAATTAAGTCCATCTTGCAGCCCTGAGTGTGCTGCCTAGTTCTCCTAAACGCACATAAGCACTCATTGAAAGACAGGAATGAGTTTCTTTCTTGTTACTTGTCCCCAGGTCTTTTGTCATTATTTTATGTATTATTAGTCTCCTACCTTCTTAATTCGTTAGTTATTGCTTTTCTTGTACCCCCACTGTGTGTAAAGAGTTCTTAAGCACTGGCGCTATATAAAATATATAAAAACATTAAATTAAAAAGTATTCTCATAGAAGATATCTGCTATTACAGTGATAGTGTTGGCTTAGTACTTTCCATTGTTACTAGTAGTTGTTAGTTCTCACAGATAGTATCCAAGTTAGAATTACATCATTATTATTATAACTAATTACCAGGGTTATTGTGTATAAACAAGGATTTCCGCGAGTTAAAAAAATTGTAAATTCCAAAATCCAAATTTCAGGCTTAAAAAAGTCTTAAATTTACTGAAATATTGTGTTGTATGTCTTGAATCTTTTTTTAAACAAGTCTTCATTTTCCTTTGTTCATGTTTTGCTTCGTACTCTGGCCAAAACCCATGCAATAACCAACAATTCATCTCAATATAACTTTCAACTTATGTTCAAAAAGGTCATTTTAACTCTATTTATCATAATGGTTTAATTATTTTCCTTACAATAACATTTGTTTAAATGTGCTCCATGTATTTACTGCTGAGGACATCGACCTGGACAGATTGTTGCGCATAAATTTAGTTTATTATAGTTTTTAAAACGTTGAAAATATTTTTTTATTTTTTTATTATTTTTTCGATGTTTATGTTGGAAAAAAATTGTGTGGATACAAGTAAAGCTTGCTTGTTTTTACACAATATTTAAAATCTTTTGCTAAGAAATATCTAAAATATGGTAATTTTTTATTATTAATTTATTATTTTATTATTAAATGTATTAAATATCATATTTTTTTGATAGAACAAATAAAAAAAAATTCATTTTGGCCATTTAAAAAATTCCTTAGCCTTTAGCCCAGGGGTCACCAATCCTGGTCCTGGAGGGCCGGTGTCCCTGCAGGGTTTAGCTCTAACTTGCCTCAACACACCTGCCTGGATGTTTTAAGTATACCAAGTATCGCCCTATTCACACGGGGCGTCAGCGTCAACGCTTCCCATTCACTTTGAATGGGTGACGTCAGGCGTTGCCGAACTGCATTGTGGATCCGTCGGCGCCGCTTCAGAAGCGTTCCTCGCTGCAGAAGTTGGGACCAGCTCAACTTTTCAAGCGCCGACGGAAGCGTCAGCCAATCAGATCGCTGTATGCAAATACACCAGCTCAGACAGTGGCCTATTGCTGACTGAATTTCATTGGCTGACGCTTCTATGACGATCGTTTCAGCTCCAACTTCAGACACGCCCTCTGTCAAGCGTTGACGCTGAAGCCCCGTGTGAATAGGGCGTAAGAGCATGATTAGCTTGTTCAGGTGTGTTTGATTAGGGTTGAAGGTATATCTGCAGGACACCAGTCCTCCAGGAACAAGTTTGGTGACCACTGCTTTAGCCCTTCATCAGTTTAAATTTTCATTCATAATAGTCTTAAAAATGTCTTTAATAGTCTTAAATTTAACTTGATGAAACCTGTAGAAACCCTGGTTTAAAGTATGTCAGAAAACATGGATGCCCCTAATTAAAAATATGCTGAATGAAATGGACACTAAAATAATTAATCATTATAAAACATTGTACAGTATTCTAAACTATATGATGTTGCTGTGGGACAACGTGAGACAAAAACAAATTATAGTGGAACAATAACGTTTAGCATTGCACTGACTAAAACTGGTAAAACAAACTAGCCTAAAAATGACTTTTGCTGTTAGAAATGGATTACAGCATGCTGATGATATGCAAACATTAGAATGTAAGGTTTTTATGTTTTAAGTTTTTCAGGACAACAGTATCTCCAGCAGAAAATATATCCATAGATGCCGTTTTAAATCGTAAAGAAATCTGTGCTTTTGTAACTAGTGAAGACAGCAGAAGTCAATGATTCATCAGAATAATCTTGCCTGACATGTTTACTGCTCCAAAATACTTTAAAAGTTTCTCAAATAAAAATTTTTAGTTCAAAGGGAATTTTTTGGTTTGTTTTGTTTTTTTACCCAGACATTTAAAATATATGTGGCGCGCAGAGGGGATAAGGCTTTTTGTTGGTCGCAAGACCAATACAATAACTGGCACACTAAAGCCAAATTAACACAAACTATTGCAATTAGAGCTCTACTACGCCACCCAGTACATTTGCTAGGACATAAAATACAGGTTTCATACTACTGACAAAGAGACGTGGATATAGAAGAATAAGGTTTCTTTTATTACAATTCAATTATTTTTGGACCACAAATATTAAAAGACAGGCACATGCACTCTTTTTAAAAAGGCACTAGTGGAGGCAATTACAAAAAAAGAAAAAAGATAAATCCTCATCCAACCAGAGGAGCTGGGGCTCACCACAGTCGGGCAGGCTAGGCACTGGGCCCAAAAATGACCCACAGATTCACACGTGCACACTTTGATTTAAAACACCACACAGTGAAATTCAATGCACACAAGTGGGCAAAATACTAATTAATAGAAAAAGAGTCACGCCACACAGCGGCCCGACTGCCTGTACTAGACACCCCCAGCTCCTAGGGAAAGAAGAAAAACCACAATTAGAAAAAAAATAAAAAGTACAACAAGCACATATATTAAATGGGCTCACAGAAGCATCAAAATGAGAGACTACCTGAGAGCGGCTACCAGCCACTCAGGGGGGCACGGAGGTGACAGGCCCCAGCTAATCATACAGTGTAAAGCACAAGGTCGCAATGTTAAAACAGGACAAAGCACCACAAATGCAGCAATTGAAGCAAAGTAAAGCAGTCCTCGAGACCACAAACTTATTTTACGTTTCCTATTT